AAAAATTATCAAGACTATAGTACCATTATATGTGGACATTTGTGTTTGAAATTTCTCACTGGAGAATTGATATGAAGGGGGCTGATGAGATCAAGACGCAGATCAGTTCAGTGGCAGCTACGATGAGTGACNAGATCAAGACGCACATCAGTTCAGTGGCAGCTGCGATGAGTGACTCATTCACCTTGACCTTGTCTGGCAGGTCCTCTGTACTGGAGGCCTGGTATTTTCCACCTATTGAATTATCAAAGCAAAAATCCTACAGTGTAGGACTCGTACAACTCCTCACATACAATTCAATCCCCAATATTGATGAGGGGCGCAATAAATTCCATTTTCAAAAAGGGGATTTGGCAATAGAGCTGACTATACCAACGGGAAGCTATGAAATCAGTGATATCGACAAGTATTTAAAGAGAGAATTATTGAGCTTTAAAATTCCCTTCAGCTTGAAAGCTGATGATCAAACACTTACAACAGTGATTGAGGTACCAAAAGATGTAACAATAAATTTCATGCCATCGAATTCTATCGGTCAATTGCTTGGTTTCCACGGAGAGGTTCTGGCACATTCTACAGTCTATCGAGCAGCCACACCACCAAATATCCTTCATGTAAATTCACTTCGTGTTGAGTGCAATCTCACTGCAGGAGCCTACATTAACGACAGGCGTGTGCATACAATTCATGAATTTTTCCCGAGCATCCCCGCCGGATATAAGATCATTGAGAATCCTGCGCAGGTCATTTACTTGCCAATCGTCGTGCAGTCAATAGATCATCTGCAATTGAAAATTTTAGACCACGACGATCGTCAGGTGAACTTTCGTGGAGAAGTCATCACAGTGGGACTTCATATAAAAGCTAATTGAGAGGAAAAATGGGCATCGTCTTTGAGAGAAAAATTGGCAGCAGTTATAAAAGTGAAGAGTCATGCCAGAAAGTGGACAGTCGTCGAGTAGCTCGCGCGCAGCTGACATCGCAGAATATCAAGTTTCTGAGGAGTCTGGGTCTGAAAATTCACGCAAGAGTAAAAAAGTGAAGTTTTGCTGTTTCGTCCTCGCCTGTTGTTACTGCCGTCTACCATGGAAGAAGTCTTAAATATTCAAAAACGAATCATCTTTGATGAGTCCATTGCTCATTATGAAATGCACGCACATCAACCGTTTGCATCATCGTCCTTCAGCAACAATGATGAAATTCGTATTGCTGTGCAACATCAAGACCTCTGCCTGTTACCCAGCAAGAGTTCACTGCATATTTGTGGTCGATTGACGAGAGAAGACAACAATGAGGCTGTTGCTCGCACTGAGCTCGTCAACAATGCAATCTGTCATCTATTCGAGGAGATACGTTATGAATTGAATGCTGTGGAAATTGATAGATGCAAAAATGTTGGCTTGACAACACTTATGAAAAACTATATTTCACAAAGTCCCAATCAGAGTTATCTCATGGAAAATGCTGGCTGGATGATGGATCAAGGGAAAAAAATAACCGATGATCAAGGGTACTTCGATGTGTCCATTCCTTTGAGCATGATTTTCGGATTTGCTGAAGATTACCAGAGAATTATTGTGAACGCAAAGCACGAGTTGATTCTGACACGTTCACACAACGACCTCAATGCCATCATTCAACAAGCTCTTGAAGGAGGACAGCGGGCTGAAACTTTTAAAATTACCATGACGAAGATGGACTGGATGATTCCCTATATTAAACCTGCGGACTCTCGAAAAGTGCAACTTCTTAATCAGATTTCAAAAGACAATCTTATACCAATTAGTTTTCGAGCTTGGGAGTTATATGAATATCCTTTATTACCCAGAACATCGAAACATGTCTGGGTTGTGAAGTGTTCTACACAACTGGAGAAACCACGCTATGTCATTGTCGGTTTCCAAACAGCCAGAAAGAACGAAGCCACAAAGAATGCCAGTGTATTTGATCATTGCAATATTCGAGAGATCAAATTATTCTTAAATTTACAAAGCTATCCCTATGGAAATCTGAATCTAGACATTGCACATAACCAATCAGCTCTACTTTATGACATGTACACCAACTTCCAAACGTCTTATTATCACAAGGAGCCCGAGCCGCTATTCGACAGAAAAAAATTCTTGGAAGCTGCACCACTCATCGTCATCGATTGCTCCAAACAGAACGAGTTCTTCAAATCTGGACCGGGTGATATTCGCCTGGAGTTTGAGTCATCAGAAATCTTCCCCAACAACACAGCAGCCTACTGTTTGATTTTACACGATCGAATTGTCGAGTACAGTCTACTCAGCGGCAATGTGAAGAAACTCATATAATTTAATCAAGATTTTTTCAAACATATCAATGTAATCTTTCATGAGATTTTTTTTTTAAAGGAATCAATGTAATCTTCATAAATAAACAACAATTATTGGAGAATGGATTTTTTATTTATCATCACCAGTATTATTATTATTAGGACATTTTGCTTTCAAAGTATTGAACATTATATTCACTTCGAGTTTTAATTCATTGAGGATGCCCAGCATTGGTGTAGCTGGGGTGTCCTCTGTGAGATGTGGTCCTCTCTTCCTCTTCAATCCGCTGCTAGTTGATGGCTTGCACCAGGAGCTATCCCATCAGTCTCCAACAAAATCGTCGCTCACTCGTTGAATTAAATCTTCAATGCAATTCAGAATAACTTCCAGCTTCTTCGAAATAACAGCAGACATCGGCAGTGAAGAATCAGCAGAAATTTCTTCTTCATTCCTCTTCCTCAAATCGACGTAATTTCTCTCCAAGAGAAGAATGTCATCAATTAAGGACCAAACACGCTCCGGTGGATCATCCCCGAAATGTTTCTCTACAACTTCCTCGAACCCGAACAAGTACGGGGCAGTTCTGATCAGAAAGTGGATATCGTCTATCGAGAGTTTCTCCATGATTTCAACTGATGCATCCCTTGTGAAATGAACTACTTATACCCTCCGCCCCCCCACTCTTCAACTCTGCACCACAATTCAAACGGAAATTCAGTTTGTGAAACCAATAAATAATTTCTCGGAAACACCGGTAACCGAAAGATTCTTCTTGGAAAAATATTCATAACCGTCAAAGTCGGATGAATCCTCTTGCATTTGAATCGGAGACATCCACTTTAACTTTATTCCAATCATATACCACTCTCAGCTGATCAGATCGACGAACTTTTAAATATCTCCCTATAAACACCAGTTGCACCATACGAGGCCCAACCAGACTGCTCTTGTTTAGACAACGCGTACGTGATTAAATGCGCGACCTTGACACCCGCCGTAAGAGGCAACCATCGAATATCCGCCATGAGATCACAGCCTTACCCCATGCCTCATCTCGGTCCATTCTCGTTGAGTCATCGCCCCCCCCCCCAACCGCCGCCCGCTACAAGAGACATGATCAGGCTCCCCATCTGACCCGTCGTGACCACCGCGCCATCTAACGGCCCGATTCCGAAGTAATATCCAGGATCGGCTCTGTTTAGCTACTTGCTACCGTGAATCTAGATACTTCTTCTGCTCCTTCTGATCGACATGGTTATATCTACTAACTGTTACAAAGGCAAGCACCATTTTTCATCCATACAGCGGACACTCTCTATGATTTCGCTTCTTTAGGATTTAAGTTGGGAAAATTGACCGCTCCCACAATTAACAATGTAAGCGTGTATAAATAATGTATGGGCTCCTCTGCGCGCCAGGAATACGCAGTAAAACCATTGGTGATGCGGAAGGATTGGAGTAGACGGATGCTCCCTGATTGTGCTATTTCTTTTTATCCTGACTCAAACTGTATGAGCAGGGGCTTTCCGATCACTTAAATTAGTGGAATTCGTACCCCAGAAGCTAAAATCTTAGGGCGCAGTCACTGTAATAGAAACAGGTCGGCAAATCGGCAAAGTATTCTTAGTTATTCATTTAGCGCTATGTTTCCGATTTTTCTAAATTTTTTATGTTTTAGCGCCTCACTGAATGCCCCTGTGTTAAATTTTAGCCCTCTAACTTGATTATTGGCCGAGATCTATGCCATTTCATGATTTATGCTTTCAATTCTTTAATCCTTTTTACACTGAGAAGTATATTTCGTATAAAAAAACGTTTAATATATTTTTTGCGAAAAATTTTCAGTTTTTCAGAGAAAAAATAATAATGATTTCTCAGTTTTTTCTGCCTGAAAAAGAGATTTTGTGATAAAAATCCCTCATTTTACAACGTTACTCAAACTTTTTACATTTTTATTTTTTTATCAAAAAGATGAGACTTTGTTTTGCAAAATAACTATATGCCAAAAAACGCGCTCTCCATGGCATCAACCTCATAAAAATGAAAATTAAAGAAAAATAAAGTCATGTGATATTGGCAGGGGTAACGAAGTAAATGACCTCAGGTAAATTACATAGTTCCTGACCTGTTATAAACTAGGTATTGCTAGTAAATTGCATGGAAGTTTCGAACCTTTCGCCATGTGAGAAACCTATTTGGAACTGAACTATGGGCGGAGCTTACGGCTTTGAGATAGCACTTCACATGTAAGTTGATGAGCTGAATTTCATTTTGATACGACTTAAATGAAATTGATCTCATTTGAAAGCTTAAAAAAACAGTCTGAGTATGATTTATAGTTTGTTGAATTTCACTCTGTCAATTTTGAGTTATTGACTTTTGAAGACTGTTCAGTTTCCATTACAGTCCCATACAGCGGAGACGTTGACTATCTTCAAATGATTCCTTTTTTAATCACCAGATATCATACGCCGATCCAACAGATTCCAACTGGACGCCTTCCACCGGCATAGTGCGAAATCGTGATATTTTCTCATATTTCGCGAGGTTCATGAGTCGTAACAGTTCTGCCTCGCGAGGATAAAACGTTACAACCACTATAACTTATGAGGATCAAATCACAATGGTCGGATGGATAATGTCAAGGGTGAAACAACCACAAATTTCAAACGGGATAGCGTTCGGACTATTTCTATTTCTATTACTGGGGGAAAAAGGGGGAGACGAATTGAGAATTTTTCTCCATTGGCTCGGGAGAATTTACTGAACCTGAGGGTAATTGGTAGCGAAAGTGTGAAATTTACCCGGCATTCCATCAGAAACGATGCCAGTGAACGTGAATAATTGCTCAATATTGCGTAATCATTTACATACGTTTAGAATTTATTTGTAACGGAGAATAATTTTTTTTATCGAACGCGATGTGGTAAAAATTCAATCTCGTCCATCCCCATATCCTTCAGATGGGTGTCAGAAAAAGAAATCCTACTGGTGTGGAAAATTTTCGTTAGTGATACCGTCACGACTACATGATACATTTTTTGGATAGATCCTCACTGTCTGAAAAAACATCAAAAGTTTTGGAATCGTCGCAATCTCGAAAAACATGGGATCGGTGCATCTCGTCACGATTTTGGGAGAACTTCTCTTGCCTGGGTCTCGACTTTTTCATTTTTTTCTGTTTTTATATCACCGATATATCGTAACGATATTCTGACTGTGATGATCTATCCAGAAATTTTATCGTGTAATCTCGACGGCATCACTAATTTTTGTGTGCAGTGAGGATAATTATTACATCCATAGTTTGTGCCTCCCGTTTGTGCAAATTGTACTGTCTGCCTCCCGTGGTCAACCCTCTTGGTGGTTTGATCCTTCGGATTATCCTGTCTCTGTCGTTCGACTTTTGCAAGGTTAGACCCTCGTGGGTTATGACCGTTGCGAGATTTGACTCTAGTGAGGTATGACCCTCGGATTTGTTTGATCTTGGTGATTTTGCGGCCTACATGCTTCCCACTTTTGCATTCATGCAAGTAGATTTTTTACACTTGTTTCCATTTTCGACGCTTTAGCAGTAAATTACTAATATTTGACCACCACCCGGTGAAAGCTCTCATCTGCGAGATCTCCCCAACCCTGGATATTGATCCCTATTAGGACTTGAATCATCATAGATTTAGGGTATTTTGCATATTTCTATAATGTTTTACGTAATATATATGATGAATTAATTTTTTCCGCTTTTGCATGCTTTTAAATATAGCTTTTTTTGCTGAAAAAACTTCCCATCTTTTCGATTAAGAAATAAAACAAGCAGGGATATGAGCCTATTCGATAGAAGCAATGTGGCTGTTAGTTTGTGCGTTACTAGACTTTTTTCTTTCTCTCTCTACCAATTCCATTGATACGAAGCTTCTGAATAGATCTGTATCCGTTTTTCTATGCCAAATCCCGTTTTCATCATTATTTCATCAAATATTACATAATATAAAATTGAAAAACTACTAAACAAGTACAACCTTTCTCTAAATTTTGGCCCCTTTAACATCAGTAGTTTGCCTATGACATATGACAAATGCTTAAATCGATGAAAAATTCTATCTTGCGAACTAATTGACGGATTTTGATGAATACAAAAATATGTTTTTCTTTTTTGCATGTACTTTCGGAATAAAAATACGACAGTACCACGAGGATAAGTAATAAGTCATTTTTCAGGTTTTTTATTATTCAAATTTGGTTGTTACGCAAGGGCCAGACGAGCATCGAATAATTTTTTTTCCTCGATGGATGATAATAATACCCAACTTTTTGGGGATATTTTAAAATGGGACATCCATATAGAGATAAGAAAACAAATTTCTTATCCTGAACAATTCGATTTTCTGCTCATAAATGAGAAAAATTACTTTTAGAGGTCCAATTTTTCGCAATCACAAAAGTTAATTAAGGATTAACTGAAAGAGGTGAGTAAGGCAATCACAAAGGTCGAATGGCCGTAAATCGAGCGGAATAATTGAAAGCGTCTCCTGTTGTATCCCACGACGGTCAAACTTCACCATGGTCGTACTCCTTGAGGGTCAAGGATCGCAAGGATCAAGCCTCGCAAGAGTCATCCGTAATTAGTGTCAAACGTCGCCAGGGTCATACCTGGCGAAAGTCGAATGTCGCAAGGATCATAACTGGTAAGGGTAAAACGATCGCAAGGGTCGAACAGCAGAGACTGGCAGGACAATATCAAGGTTTAAACGACCACAAACGTCAAATAGCGAAGACAGGGAGAACAACGCCAAGGGTTAAACAAATCGGAGAGTTAACCGTACGAGTCAGGCAGCATAATCACCAGGTTCGAATGGGAGAGGTAAGGATGGAAGACAATCACAAAAGTCAACTGGGAGAACCTTCTGCACTGAGAAAAAAATATAATTCTGACAATCAAATTTGTTTCAGACAAGAATTTATAGTGAAATTTTGTTTGGAAATTTTGGGCATTTGTTTGTTTGAAACAAATTTGATTG